AGGAGGATTTGGAGGTGGGGTAGCCCGGGTTTGTCGGCTCAAGTTTGTTTCTATAGCTTTTTTTTTTTCCGGGGGGCCCCCCCCCCCCTCCCCGCGCCCGGTCCCTTCTCTGTCCCGACGAACTACGCAACCCCCCACGCCCCCTCCACTCACTACAAAGATTTCAACACATTCCTTCGATTGCTGGGGTTATACCTCCAACGGGTGGTCGTTTTTTCAGTGACTACATTTGCTAAACAAACCCTCACACGATGCCGTCTCGACGTTTCAACGCTCGTCTGCCCGTCAGAACAACACCGAGTACACCAACTTCAAGACGGCGGACAAGGAGATCCAGTGGTTCTGGAACGTCCTCCGGTCGTTCAGCAGGGAGGACCTGGCCCTGTTCCTGCAGTTCGTCACCGGGACGTCGAAGGTACGTCGAACCCTCGCCCAGTGGAGGGGGGTTGTTTGTTTTCTGAGGAGCCCTTCTCGTTAGTTTCCTAACCTCAACGACCGCTGGTTAACACCCCACTTTTGTTCCACAGGTAATCACCCTACATCTACCTCCCCCCCCCCCACATGTATACCATCCGTCAGTCCCCCGGCGGGATGCCAATAAGTCAGTCTCCAACTTTTGTGGTACTTTTTGTTGTGGTCTTTCTCTCTTCCTAGGCAGTGTTGCGTCCAATCTGTCCACAGGTTCTACAGGTGACTTCTCGTCAGACCTGCCGTCTGCTTCGTGCTTGTCCGCTGTTTACTCGCTCGCATCGTCTTCTCTCTCTGTGTATTTCGTGTGTGACTGTCCGTGTTTGCATGTGTTGGATCGGTTTATGTGTAAAAAATAAGGTATCATACTTGACAGACGTTGGGGGCGCGTGTAAAACCCTTTCTGAGCGTCGTCTCCACGTGTACGTGTGTGCGTGTGTGTTTTGTTTTTGCAGGTACCGCTGGGAGGGTTCGCGACCCTGCAAGGAATGCGGGGTATCCAGAAGTTCAACATCCACAAGGCGTTCGGCGGCAGCCACCTCCTGCCCGCCGCCCACACTTGGTGCGTTGCTTTTCGTCGGCCTCGTGCTGTTGCTGTGTTCTTTCCTCTTTTGTTGTTGCCGCGTTACTTTTTCTGTCGTGTTTTTATATCTCGATCGGGTAGTCTTTCTGTGGTTCTGTATGTGTCTGTGTGTTTTCGTCCTATTTTTGAAAGGCGACAGTCCCCCCATTTTTCGTGGTGAGACGCGAAACACACGCTTCCGTGTATGTAGAGTACTACACTGTACATTGTTTAATAATTCTAATGTCGTCATCACCACCACCACCACCACCTACCTCCCCACGCAGCTTCAACCAGCTGGACCTGCCCAAGTACACGAGCGAGGAAATGACGAGAGAGCGCATCCTGCTGGCTATCCACGAGGGGTCGGAAGGGTTCGGTTTCGGGTGAAAACCTTCATGACGTAGATATGGAGGGGAGGGGTGGGGTGGGGGGTGGCGTTTGGGACTTTGCGTGGTTTCGTGAATGGGAACTATGTGTGCGTGAAGGGGGGGGCGGGGGCGGTTGAGCGGATGTTGAGGTCGTAGCCAAGCGGTCTTGATCGGTCGGTGCCGGGGGGGGGGGTACGCCAACTGCCTTGTTCTGTGCGTTGCCCCCATACATATGTAGGGTATACTCCGATGGCTCGGAATATACTCCGATGGCTCGGAAGTGTTTTTAAGTCTCGGAAAAAGTTCTTGCTAGATCCACAGCCTCACGTCAGCCTCATGATTGCTTTTTTGTTGCGTTGCGTTTCAAGGCGTGTACTTTTTCAGCATGGTACAACCACACACCTCGTTTTTTGGAAGCGGGTGTGCCACTCCAACCATGATGCTGCTTGGTTTGTTCCATTCTGCTTGTTTTCTTCCGTTCTGCTTGGTTTCTTCCATTCTGCTTTGTTTGTTCCGTTCTGCTTGGTTCCTTCCATTCTGCTTGGTTTCTTCCATTTTTCGCGTGCGCGAGAGGTGGCGTTCGCGTTTGCTCGGGCGAGAGGAATTTTCCGCGTCTTTTGTGTTGTGGCTTTCTCTGCGGGGCAGGGCGAATGGGGGGGGGGTCAGAAGACCTGTGGGCCTTCTTCCTACCGATGCGAGGCGATACAGAGTTGTTTGCATTCCGTGGGTTAGTACAAAACTTAATAGCGGTTGATGCTCTCTGCTTTGCCGTCTATCCTCCCTCGGGTGCGCATTGCAGCCCATCCACGAATCTTCTTTGCTGTTGCCGTCTGGGCAAGTCGTCGTTGCCATTCCTTTACTTCGGCGGTGGGGCTGATCTCCTACTGCTGTCGGAGGGGCACGGCGACGGTGGTCATGGGTAGACGGATGGGTGACCCGGCGAAACTCGCAGGAAATTTGGGAGCGAGCCAGCGAAGTTGACATTTTTGTGATTGCTGGAGTGGGCCCAAGGTTGGTAGCAGATAGAGGACGGCGAGGAAATGTGGATGCGACGAAGCAACGTGATCAGATCAACCTGGCATTACACACGCCAGGGAGAAGAAGCGAGGCGTGTTGCTTTGTCGTCGACACGCATTGTTCAATCGGCAGGGGGAGGGGGGGGGCGAGAGGCGTGAGGGGCGAGACAGAATTGAGCTAGGAATCACGGATGATCAAATGGTCAATCAGATGCTGCTTCCTCCCGTGTTGGTACCAAGACATCCTCATCAATGTCTCCTCCCCCTACAGAACACGGAGCGTATTACTCGCTGCATGTGCTTAGGATATGAGCACTTCCAGTTTCTGGAGACAGATCACCCGTCCGTGCGCAGTTTATCATTCCTTCGCGCTGGAAGCGTCCCGTGAGGTTAATTCAGCCGGCAGCAACGCTTGCTGCATAGATGGGCGCTTGGGCGAGATAACAACAACAGACAGACCAACACTTACTTGTTGGAACGAAGAACTAAACAACACCTTTTTTTGTCGTCGCGACTCTGCGCGCCGAGAAGCCATCTACCTCCCGAGGACTGCCCAGGTTCCAGACTTCCTTGATTATATTTGCTTTTTTCCCTTTTTTTCTTGCAAGAAGATCATGCCCGGCACTATTAATAATAAAAGCCTCTCAGCAGGGGATTTCATCCAACTTCAATCAACTGTGAAACTCACAAAAAAATCGGCAGCGTTGCTGCTGTGGTGGTGGCTGTCATGGAGCCGTCGAAGTGAACAGCAGTAGACTAAAAAAAATAACCAGAAGCAGCGCGTCCAGTCGGCGCAAAACAAACAAACATAGAGTAGTGGGCTGCTGTACGTAGTAATAGTTTCCGTGCGGCCGTGGAAAGAAAATAATAAACACAAGAAATCGTTCTGGGTGGTGAGGACAACATCGATCGATCGATCGTCTTGTATCATCGTTGCGTTTATTTAGCGTTCGTCGGAGAAACGAGAAACAGGCACGCATTCCAACGAAAAATTGACGATTAGTCTGGGGTGTGCAATGAACTGCCTGCTGTCTGTTTGTTTCTCTTCTAAATAAACTTGTCGGAACTCTCGGTGAGACGTTTATTATGGTGAGCTGGTTATTGTTGTTGCCGTTGTCGTTTATTGCTGCAATTCGTTCTTGATTACGTTGCAAAAAAAGTGGTCGAAGGACTGATGACTATTTTTTCATCATCCTGCAAAACAACGGACGGAACGGCGTCGAGACGATCGAAGCGTACATACATGAATGAATTGGATGCACTAATAAGGGGCGCGTGCACCGGCGCTGCTGCTGCTGCATTCATTCGCGTGGCGACTGCTGTTATTGTGGAAGCCATGAAAACGTAATAATGCAGCTACAATTGTATGTATGTATGCTAGCTTAGGGCCCAGTGCGCGCACGTGCGTGTGCCCTTACCGGCCTGTGGCACACGCGCTTGGCGTCACCAAACGTACGTATGTTTTTTTTTATTTTTGGAAGAGTGGACACGTTTCACACGCACATACATACACACACATGAACCGCACCAAGATACAAGAAGCGTAGTATACTGTATTGCACATTGATGAGGGGCGGATAATATAGATACATGGGATGGATGGACATATTAGTTGCCCCGGTGGCAGAGATATACGCCGTGTGAGGGTGATGCTGCGAACGACCGTCCCTGCCTTCGGTTCACGGTTGGTTCAGGAGATACACCGATACACCGATATACCGTGAGCCGCAAGAGCGTCAGTCGGCTAGTCCGAGTCACAAGTCCGCGGACCGACAACCTTCCACGTTCTTCCCAAAAATCTTGCAAAAAACAGGGGATGCGAAGGATCTGTCCCCTCCCCCCTGTCTCTTAGATCGTGCACACCTCACATCAAGCCCTCTCACTTCAACCATCCTCTCGCGAAGGCACTCGCGTGCACTAGGTACATCGGTAGGCGACGACGGAGGCACCCAGCGCCACAAGATGAAGCGGAGCAGAACATGCCTGAACTTGTTCGAGCTCGACACGCCGGCGGCGCCCAAGCGGACATGCTCCTTGCCGAGCAATCTGGGGAGCTTCAGCAGCAGCAGCAGCAGCAGCAGCAGCTGCGGCAGCAGCAGCGGCAGTAGTTTTAGCGTCAGCGTCAGACAGAACCAGGAGAGGTTGCTGTTTTTGCAGCAACACGCGGCGTCGACGCTGGCTCAAGGTGCGTGAGCCTTGCGAGGGGTGGCTGCTGTCTACCGCCGACCTCGCTTTGTGCATGTGGGGTTGTCGAAGCTGTCTAGCGCGTTGACTTGTGTGCGCCCTTCCCCCCTCTTGTTACGAGAGCCACTGAGTAGGATCTCTCCGCGACGCGCGCTTCGAGTTGATGCACATCCGTCTTTGTGATGATGGCTGCATGTACATGCTGAGCGAAACAGGGCCTACAGCGCCCCCCCCCCCCACGGCAGATGTCGGCGAGGAAGGAGCCGCGGTTCGGCGTTCCGCTTGTTGGGGCGTCGGGGGGGGGCGCTCGGCCCTGGCGTGCTCTCTGTTTTGTGGGCCGGGGTGAAGTTGCCTGTGTGTCGTAGCCCGGCCGGCCGGCCCCACTTTCGTCAGTTTTGAAAAAAAATGGAATGCATATGCATAGAGCCTGCACACACAAACCCTCTTCCTGCGTTGATGACCGCAGGGACAGCAGCCGCCCCCGCGACCATCGCCGACGGAAAATTTGTGGTGGAGAGCATCGTGCGCTCGCAGGGGTCTCTCAACGAGATCACCATCCACGAGGGGCAGCAGTTCATCGGGCAGGAGAGCAACGAGGCCGCTACGGCCGTACCGCAACAACAATCTTTCGCCGCCCGTGTTCAATCCTCCGAGCAGCAGCAGCAGCAGCAGCAGCAGCAGCCCCTCTCCCTGTTTGGCGGGGCTGTGATTGGGAGCCTGTTCGAAGACGGCGGTGAATCGAGCGACTACTTCTGTGGGGTGAGTCAACGCTGCTTGTTTGCATCCGGGCCGTCCCTGCCGTCGCGTTTCTCTGCCGTAGTATGCGCTGTTGTAAACCGCAAACTTCAACGAAAAGTTGAAAACCGGTTAATCTGGAATCGTTCTTCTCTTCCTTCTTCCGCTGGGTATCCACTCTCAACCACAGTGTTTTTCGACTCAGCGCACGAACATGCGAGTGCTGCTTCTAGAACTTATCGTAGAACTGGAGAGGGAGCGTGATCTCCCATCACATATAGATAAAAACGCTGGAGGCTGTTGTTGTTCGGCCGGTATGTTTCCAACGCCTACCTAAAATGTGCACGGCGACACAGGCGTTGCAGCGTTTCCTACTAGACTACATGCAACGCCGTTAGCCTTTGAATCACATATTCGCGAGAAATCCGGTATGACCCCGACACACGTGCGTGCGTGTACATAGCCCTCCGGCTCGGTGAAGAAAAATCAGAAGTCTTTCGTTTCCCTCCGCTGCCGCTGCGGCACGTTCGATTTCCGCACGTCTTTTTACACAAGGCCAACACTGATTTTTGTTTGTTCTTTGGAAGTTATCGTTGGGGTCTTGTGGCCGCCCGCCCCCCCTCCCCGCTCTCCGGTGTGGCCATCACCGACGTGACCCACTTCGCTCTTTCAAGGCGCGAGATGCACATGTCGCGTGTGTGCGTTGCGGCTTGCATGGTGGTGGTATCCTGGCACTCGAAGACAACAACGTATGCATGCAGACAGCAAAAGTATGCTGGTATGTATATTGTATAGTGTTTCGGTACGTGTTCATTTCGTTCGAAAGTGAGCGATGAGCGGCTTCGGGGTGACGTCAAACATGCGCACAGACCCCCTCCCTTACCTCCCTTACGAGAAGTTGGAGATTTAGGAATGTTTCGTTCGTGTGCCTTATCTTGTCAAGCTTCCCCTCCGTTATGTGGGGTCGGGGGGTTGTGTTGACTTATAGTATACATCCCTGCCTTCCTTACCCTCTGCGGTGGGGACACATCCAATAAATATCCGCAAGCCGTGCCCTACTCAAAAGTCACACCAGTTTGATACAGCTCGATGAGTTGAGAACCGAAGGGAACCTTCAAGATGCATGCACGTTTTGCACTCTTAATGTGAAGACAACTACAACCGTTGAGCGTTTGCCACAAATCTGCGGCCAGCAGCATGATGGTTGAGAGAACGGCGGTGGAGAGGGGAGTGAGCGGGCGGATGTGAACGGAATTTGAAGAAGCGATGAACAAATCCAAGTAAACTGGTTGCACATGATGAACACATGCCTACATGTCACCCGACAAATTGCGGCGAGAGTCCTCTCATGTTTAGAAAGATGGATGGGAGGCCACGACAGACAAAGCGCAGGCACAGACGCATGCTCGTAAACGTGTAATGTGCACAGCAGTGGGGGTACATATTTTCCGCACGAAAGTTTCGACGGTCCCGTAACTGCTTCAACATATGCCCGAGAAAAATGTGCCGTACTACGCAGCTGCCGTTTGGTGCACGAAACGCGCTGTACAAGTACACGGCAAGGAGAGGGACAACAGCACCAGTCCTTGCAAGCATGGTTGGGCGTATCGGCATGATTGTCTACATGAAACTAGCCACGTACCTACTGGTGGTAGATTTCGCGGTGGTTGTGTTTTGCGGCACGCTGGTGTGCGGTGACTCACTCTCTGCCGCTGCGGTGGTGTCTACATAGTACGTCAAAATGTCGATGGGTCGTTGTTGAAGCCGCAAAAACGAAAAAACAAAGTGCCGTGCGTGCATGCGTGTTTGCGTTACAACGCGGCACGCAGTATTTGGCAGATGACGCCGACGTGATGGCTTGAGCCACACGATGCTATGTACAACATGTACGATGATGCATTCATCGTGCAGATGCCAATCGAGGAGGCAGATTGCTTGGACGAAGTTGTTCGTTTCCCCGTTCGGAGTTCGACTTCCATCTCCAATTTTCTCAAATCAAGAGGCAAAGCACCCGCACTTCCACGAGCTCCTACTTTTGCCTATGGAGGCTCATTTCACGTATTCTGTGAGGGATATTGTAGGTATCCCAACCGTTGAAGGTGTTATTCTACGGTTGTTGAATGAGCACCTGTTGTCGTGGTCAATTTTTTTTGTTGGTATTTTTTTGTTTTGGCTCACGCTCCCAACTGCCACTGTCTCAAGTGATGGCGCGTGCTTCAGTCGACACACCAGGGTTAATTATCCCTGGAATGAAACGCGACTCTGCCGGTTGTGCATCCGTAACTTTTAATCAGCCTGACATGAGCCTCGTTCACTGGTCGATGGCCACCTCCCTGTCGTGCCACAACAACCCCGGGGTTTGCACCCCGCCGCGGCTACTTTTGTTGCGATCGGACCGTGGTTTTCGGAAATGTCCCTTGGCCTGACAGGAAATGGGACCTTCCCATGGGCCAGTTTCTCCGCCACACATTTGCCGCACTCGCCCATATGCACACTGGCTTACCATGACACTAGCCCCGAAAAAGTATCGATCAGTCAGCAAGAGGACTTTGGCTTCCAGAGGCCTCCGCCCCAGCAGCGCTGTTGTGTGTGTTGCCGCTGCCAAATTGAGAGCGTTGGACCACTCTTGACTGACGCAACCAAGTCTACCACCGCAGCTTTGCCCACCTTTCACTCGCCTGTTGTCATGATAATTCGTTTGACGAATCACAGCAGATGTGCGAGAGTTCTCGGAACACAACCCAAGGTTTCGTGCGTCGGGTCTGATTTTTCTCGTCTGTATCCGCTGACCCAAGTTTGTGTCTTTCGGTATGCATCGCACTACAGGTGGACTCGTCAGACGAAGCCGACGAGGACAGCACGGTCATGGCCGCTTCGGCAGCGGCAGAATGCGCCATATCAACGACATGCGACAGCAGCCGCGGAGCCGAGTGTGCACGGCAAGTGTCAGACGCCGACGACAACAACGCCTCCTGCGCCAGGCACGTCTCCGACTCTAGCAGCAGCAGTTGCAGCAGCATCAGCAATGGCAGCAGCGGCAGTGGCAGCAGCGGCGGCGGCAGCGGCGTCATCGGAGGTGTCGGCGCCGAAAGGTATGCCTTTGAGGGCGACGATGACGGCATCATCGGCACCGCCGCCGACCCCTTCGTCGACCTCGACACCGCCCCCGCCGCGGGCCTCTCGTTCTCGCTCCCGGCGGCGCATCGTTGGGGCGGCGGCGGCGGCGGCGGCGGTGGCGTTGTTGTGCCGCCTCAGCCGCTGGTGGCGGCGACCGGCCCGCACGCCGGCGGCTCGTGGCAGCCGGCAGCGGCGGGGGCGCCTAGGGTAAGCGTTAGGATTAGCGGCGGCGGCGGCGGCGGCGGCGGTGGTGTGGGCATGAGTAGGGAGCGATGCATGACGGTGC